AAGTTATATTAAAAATTCAAATGCCATTTACTATTAAATTAAAAACTCAAACATTTTATTAAATTAAAAATATGTGTTACCATTTAAAAAAACAAAGTTGACCCCCTTCCAAGGCATAAGGGATGAACTTAAAAAGTATTACATAGTTAAAAATTCAAGAATAATGTGTAACTAAAAATAATAAAAAAAAAAAATGTTTAAATTATTATTATTCTGCAACTAATTGAGTGGGTTATGATAAAAAAATCACCCTGTATATATATATACATAAATAATAAGAAATTGTGTTGAACATCGTATGTGTTATGACAGATAAATTATTTGTTTGTTTACAAGTTATTTAAAATACAGATTATACATTTTACATTAATAATTGTAAGATGCGTAATGCAAAGCATTGACCATGTTACGACAAATATCAGTTTTTTAACTGGTATAATTCAAAATTTTCACATTTCAAATAATTCAAATAATTTCTCTTTTAAATAATTCACATTTTTGATACATTTTAGCCATATGGCTTGGTTTTTCTGGATAAAGAACCAAAATTAATTTTCTAATATATCATTTGATAGCATATGGGAATCTTTTGCAAATGGTTCCATTTTGGGGTTGGCTATAAATAAATTCAGAAAATAAAGATAGTCATCATTTTATTTTGGTTGAGATAATTTTTGTAAGCAATATTTAATCGATGCTTGAATAATTTTACAACTTTTGTCACTTGTTTTAAATATTAATCTTATTTCAGCAATCTATTTCTTTTGAAGTAAAAATTATGCGTTATTAATTCATTTTTATATAAAAGTAAAATGGTAATATCAATTTTATTAGTAATAAAAATAATTATATTAACATGAGATATTATAATGAGCACTTGAAGTATATAACTATTTACCACAACATTTGACATTATGAATTAGAACAATACACAAAAAAAACTTTTTTGAGTCACTTTATGTTTTTGTAAAAATAAAACGCAGAATCCCAAACACGAATTTTACGGATAAATAATACAATAAAATTGTATTAATTGTAACAAAATAAGCATTAATCTTCATAGATAATGGTTAACATTTATTTATCACCTTTGAACTGTACATAATACTAGATATAAGGTAGATATAGGTACATCGTGAACAGAGTCGTCAAAACATAGTTTATTTTTGTAATTCGTCAAGACATAATTTAGTTCTATTCAACCTTCTTTTTTTTGTGTGTTATTCTTCTTCCTTTATACTTGTAAGTCGTCAAGACATTACATTATTAAGTTGTCAAGAAACAATTTACTTTTGTGAGCCGACAAGACAAATATATTGATATAAGTATAAAGAATTTGTTAAAAAAAGTATTGTGACCTATTGGCCAATAAAGTGTTTAATGAATGTGAATTAATCAATTGTACATAGTTAGGTAAGAAATTATATTAAATACTATATTCAGGTCCTATTATTATTATTTATCTAATTAGTAATTAATTACTATTATACTATGAAATAGTTAAATCATACTTATTTAACTTACATGTTGAATTCCTTCTCTTTCTATCATTATAAAAAAAATACAGTCCACTACAAAGAATGGTGAATATCACCTATTATTCGTGACATTGAATTTACTAACACCTTGTATATTACTTTTTTCTGTGCGTGTTCATACAATANCTTGTATATTACTTTTTTCTGTGCGTGTTCATACAATAGGCGTAAAAGACCACTATAAATAAATAATTATATTTACAATGTACATGTGAATAAGATTTATACAGACTACAACTCATGCTATCCATAACTATGAAAGTCCATAAATTTTATTATTTATTAATTGGGTCATAAAATAGACCAAACAATTATTAGCTAAAATTTTAGCCATAATATAACTATTATCATAATAATGTTTTAAAGTGTCATATAGATATTAACTTTCCTTTAGTTGTTGTGTATTTCCTCCAAACATTCATTACCCACTACCATATTTTATGATATTTATTTTCTTATTGTATTAAATTTACAAGCTATATCAGTTAATATTTTATTAAGTATTTAAATATATACTTATGTTATTAGCAAAAAAATTACTATTACTGCATTCTGCATTTAATAAATAAATACTTTTATAAGTATATAATATATAAATTCATTTAATATTTAAAATATAATTTGTGTTAATTACTAAAAGTATATTTTTTCAAAAAGATACGCTGTATTTGACCTCGAATTTAATGTGAGAGGCCCATGAAATTTAAGTATAAATGTAATGTTATAAGATATAAATAATAAATGTTAAAAATATCAACTTATTCTTTTAAATATGATAACATAAAATACACACATAAATATACTTAAAAAATTTTAATAATAATATTTTATGATCAACTAGTGGTTGATTTAGTATAAGAATTGAATATTATAAATATATATATTAATACTGTTGTATTTAAATATAGAACAATCTTTTTGTTCTAAATTATAGTTATAATAGTTCAATAATAACGCAAAATGTAGTT